TTATGATTTGTTCTAGTTCTGTGAAATATGTCCTGGGTAATTGGATAAGGATTGCATTAAATCTGTAGATTGCCTTGGGCAGCGTGACCATTTTAACAATATTGATTCTTCCAATCCAAGAGCATGGAATATCTTTCCATTTTTTAAAGTCTTCTTTAATTTCCTTCATCAATGGTTTATAGTTTTCTGTGTATAATTCTTTCGCCTCCTTGGTTAGATTTATTCCCAGATATTTTATTACTTTGGGAACCACCCGTAATCTTAACACGCTAATACAACTACGTTCCTCTTTTGCATATGCACATACATACTTTACACAGTTAGAGTGATGGCATTTATAATGTTTTATATCAAATCTTCATTTATTTTATCACAAATACTTTCCTTTGTTTCTTCTTGGTCTTTGAAGATCATTTAGAGTGGCTGTATAATGTTGTATGACCTGAAGGTTCTGGGAGTTTCCAAAACATTCTGTGACTATTGGCCATTTAGATCATTTCCCTTTTTTTTGTTCCTCTGGTAAATATTGCAGTGAATACCCTGTTGAACTGTTTCTCTAAGGCACAATCTTGGGGATGAAATTGCTGGGGCAAAAGCTACGAGTGCCCTCATGGCTTTTGCTGTGTTTCTCTAGATTCTGTTTGAAAGCAGTTGACTCCACTGGCAGTAAATGCAGGAATGCAGTGCTTAAGCCGGTACTGTCTGCTTAGCGAGTGGAGGTGCTGAGAGCTTGGTACATGGTGCTTTAGACTCTTTAGCTTTCCTTTGTCTTTGCCAGAACAGTTAAGACTTAGTGGTCAGGAAGCATACCAGAGGCACGGAGGCTCCATGGATTTTCCTGAGTCTCTGATTTTATCGGCAAGATGAGGATAATCAGACCAATCGCAGAAGGTCATTGATGAGGATTATGCCAAAGCTCTTGGCACTCACCAGGCACTCAGTAACTGTTGGATCGTTTCTCTTCTTTCCCTTTGGAGCCTCTGAGTGCCCTGTGGTGGCCACGCTGCGCAGCACTGTGACAGCCCTGGCCCTGGGCAATCATATAGCTGAAGAGCCTGACGTTGGCATGACTTTATTTAGCTTCTGACCAGGGCAACTCGAGGAGTCGGCCTGAGCCCCCAGCCTGTGGCAGCTTCATTTCACTCTCCCTTCCATCTCTGCCCCCGCCTCTGCGGTGCCAGTGCTGGTGCTGGTGTGTGTACTCACGGTCTCACCGCAGGCTCAGACTCCAGGCTGTTTCCTGTTGCTGCACTGGGTCTGGGAATTCTCTCTACTGTTGATGTCTAGGTCTGGCCTGTCAGGCATCTATTGTCTGGAGGCCCAGAGCTAGGCCAGTGCGCGGCTATAAGCTGGTAGGGGTAGGTTCACTTGGAAAAGACAAGAGCCACAGTAAACCAGGTAATACCCTAGCAGGGGCTGGGCCAGGGAGGTGCACAGACACCTGGGAGATAGCAATAGGCTTGAACTAAGCTGATAATTCCTGACCTTCAAGGATCTGAGTGTGGCCCATAACTGAACAGTTGTCTTCTTCTATGTCCAGGGATAAGCAGAAGGAGAAATGATATGTCATCCTACCTGGGGCCTCAGGTAGGATGTCTGCCCAGAAGGGTCCAGAGAGACAAGTCAAACAGGAGGGAAAGCACAGTTAGGCAGAGCTTTCTGTGACTACCCCCTTCTATGAACAAAAGAAAGCAAATAAACACAATGTTGCTTAGTGGTTATTATGGGCCAGGCAGTGTTCTAAATGCTTTACATGCATTATTTCATCTTCACAACAGACCTGGGCACAGGTGTTATAAGCACTGCCTTAAGTATAAGGCGACTACTGAGTAAGTCTTCAACCCCAGATCACGCAGTAGGTAAACAGTGGGGCTGGGGCTTGGACTGAGAACTTGAAGCTCGCATGCTTTGTGTGCAGATGAAGCAACGTTGCATAAGTGCCTTCACCTGTATAAAAGCTCTGGAGTCAGGGTCTCTGACTCCCTGAGAGTCTTAGCTCTTTTCTTCTGAGCCATGTCTCATCTCTAGTCTGAGAAAGACTTTGAGGTTTTAGATCAGGAGGCCCTTTATTCAGTTTTCTTACAGCACTCAAGACTGTGTTTTGTGTACTGTCAGCTTTGCCTCAGCTACTGGGCCTCTCTAGCCACTCTTGGAAAATTCCAGGGGGAGCACAGTGGTCGGGAT